AAAAGGAACTTGAGGCTGTTTACAAGACAAACTATAAGAAGGGAGGAAAAACCGTGTGTGCACAACTTGTCTGAGGGAAATTTTAGCAAAAGTAACACAGCATTGAGTGGTTTTATAGAAATTAATTCATTTGTTTTCTCCACCGCCCAGTGAGGTAGGTACTTTTAATAACTCCTTTTTATAAAGACGGAAACTGGGAAAACCAAGATTTTGATATTACGTCCTTGGCTTGCCTTCAAAGGACAGTATAAAAAAAATAATAACCCTGTGGGCGTCTTGCTACTTACTTTCAACAATAGCAATTTCAAAGCTATTCACCAGGAAAAAAAAATGTATTAGCTCTGCTTGTTACCAAAAGATGGCCAAAAACGATGCCGTGTAGTGTCCTTTGTAACTTAGATCTTTTTAAAAGTTTATTTATTTATTTTGAGAGAGACAGAGAAAGTGCAAATGGGGGAGGGGGGGAGAGAGAGAGAGAGAGGGAGAGGGAGAGGGTGAGGTAGAGAGAATCTCAAGCAGGCTCCACACTGCCAGCACACAGCCTGATGCCCAACATGGGGCTCGAACTCATAAACTGTGAGATCATGACCTGACTCAAAACCAAGAGCCACCCAGGCACTTCTCTTAACTTAGATTTTTAAGTATCCCTTATATAAAGACTCTTAAAACAAATTCCTCTCAGAACTTGGGCCACAAGAGACTTTCTCCTAAACAAACTGTGTGATTCCTTCTACTTGACAATGGGAGTTATGAAAATCTTCATTTTCCCTATTTCACTTGGCTATGAGGAAGCTTGGCGCTAAGTTTTGTGCTCAAATGCTATTTGTCTCAGCCAGAGGTTTTTTTTTTTGACTTGTCTTTTTTAATATTTGTCTTTCACTGTAAACCACCTTAAGTCTCTTTGGAAGAAGGCACAGTATAAATAAACAAAAGACAAACAAAATGTAATCCTGTTGGGGTTATGCTAGGGATATAATAATTTACCAAAATAGTTTACATAACACCCCTGAAATCTTTTTATCTGAGAGGGAATATTCTAAACGGAATCCTGGGCAGATACTATCTTTCATGGTGTTTATCACATTTTTCATGCCCCTCAAATAGCATTCCAGACCACTCTGGGTAAAGAACATAACATCTAGAGAAAATTAGCTGATTGCTCTCATATGTCTTGTTACAGGAATCTAATTAAAGTTTTGAATCTTGTCCAAAACTGTGCTCTAAAATAACCCAATTTAAATCTACATTTATCAGCCAGGCTTAAAACGAGGAACAGTGTCACTCACTGCAACTATTCACTGGTTGATCACTATACTTAATTTGTAGATTTTTATTCAGTTCCAAAATTTCTTTAAGGAACAAAGCCAGTTCTCATCCCATCGAATGATAAACACTATGCGTGTTAGATCACACCTCCCAAGAAGTCAGCTTAAGGGCCAAGATGGAAGTAATTTAATCACAAAACCTTATCTTCTCAAGGTTGCTCCTTCTGTGGGTGATCGATCAATCCTTTCAGAGAACAAAGCCTTTCATTTCCAGAACTCACATTATAGGCATGATTATGATTTTTGCTTCACTTGGAGATTATTTTATATTTTAAGCATTTCAAATGAAATCTTGTTTATAAAAAAAGAGAGAAAGAGAGAAAGAAAGAAAGAAAGAAAGAAAGAAAGAAAGAAAGAAAGGAAGGAAGGAAGGAAGGAAGGAAGAAAGGAAGGAAGGAAGGAAGAAAGGAAGGAAGGAAGGAAGGAAGAAAGAAAGAAAGGAAACAAATAAAACAGGAAAGCAGGGAGAACGGCCAAGAATTGGAAAGAAGAGTGAAAATCTTGGGCACAAAATAACTAAGAAGCTAAATTCTGCTCTCCAGCAAGAAGTTAAACAATTTGCAGCTTCATTCCGATTTAATGTTAGCTTGTAATATAACTTACTCTTTTACTTCCAATTATGTGATCTTTTCTATTTCATTCTTGTCCTTTGATGAGCATTAATGGGAACTATGTGTCAGGCTCTTCATATTATAAGATCTAAGCATCAAACAAAATGAATTCTTATTATATTTCTTTTGCAACAGCTCATGAAATTTTAAAACAGTAAATAATCTATAAAGCAGTATTTACAAATTGACTAGCCCGTGACACTTGAGTGAAATCCCTGGCACTTGAAATTAAGCCGAGATTTCTAGAAGAATCCACAGTGGTTAGTACACCTTTTACACAATAGTTAGAAAAATTTACTCCTATCAGTACAGATAACAGGACCATATCAAATGCTGCAAACTGAATTATGGTTTAGTCATAACTGGGATATTACTAACATATTTTTAAGGCCACTGCTTTCTATAGAAACATAAAATCCATTATTTCTTGGGAGAAGTGTGAACACCCTCCCTCTTCAAACCAGACGTGGCTTTGGGGTGAGCACTATGGTGGCCCTTAGGACCTACCGCAGTTTCCTGTTTCCTGACCTATGAATTAGGTAGAGGGTGAACATCAGAGGCGGTTTTCTGTGACGCTAACTAAAGCTAGGCTTCAGGGCATTTTTTACAGGCCCCCATTCAAGGCCCTGGCAGGAGCCCTCGAGATACATTCACGTGGTTGTGTGTTTTTGTACAGTTGGCCAAAGTAAGCTATTTTAACCACAATCAGCTGGGATTGAGGTCCTTTTGCACATGGATTTTCCCTGTCACTTTCCCTTGTGTTGAGTGTTGCTAGAACAGTGAGTATGCTGCATTTGGTTTTTACGTTATGAGGACTACCCCAATTGCATAAATTTCAGGCCTCACAAAAGACTGCATCAATGCCGAGGTAAAATAACAATACCTATTTTACAGGTGTGTCATGAGGATTAAATGAGTAATAGACATTTTCACGTCCATGGTGTGTACCCAGTGGATGCTAGGCTAGGCATTATCCCCCCAAATATTTTCTTCTCTCTCTTTCTCTCTCTCTCCACTTATCTTTCTTTTTTTCTTTCTTTCTATCTGGAAAACAAAGTTACAGAAGTTAACATTTTCTGTGCTTAAAACTGCAAATATTTTTCGCAAAAAGTAACTTCTCCATCCCAGCCAACAGGACAACATGTTTTTTGGGGCCTGAGGAACTTTTGCCTCTGTTGAATTCCTTCCTCCGTTAAAAAAAAATAATAAAAATTTAAAAAATATATTTTAACATTGTATTAGTGTAAAGACATATTTTAATGTATATTAAAACACTCTCTTAAGCCTTAATGTTAATTTTTTTCCTTCTGATTTGAAATGAGATCATTTACATGGGCCCCTAAAACTATTATGGGCCCTAGGCACTGTGCCTAATGGAAAAGCCAGTTACAGGATTCTCCAATATGCATAATGCTAAACTTCTCAAACCATCACGGACTCAAGAATGAAGGTAAGCAAAAGGCAACGTTGTACATTTTTTAAAATTAAAAAATTTTTTTTAAATTTACTTCTGAGAGAGGGAGAGAGAGGTAGCATGAGCAAGGAAGGGTCAGAGAGAGAGGGAGACACAGTACCCAAAGCAGCCTCCAGGCTCTGAGCTAGCGGTCAGTACACAGCGGGATGCAGGGCTGGACCCCATGAACCATGAGATTATGACCTGAGCCTAGTCGGAGGCTTAATCAACTGAGCCACCCAGGCGCCCCTGTTGTATATTTTTAACAGCGTCAGGTACACATAGTAGAACCATGTTTTCCAAACAAGATCTTAGGGATTATTAGGAAGCATTTAGTTTTGGTGTCTCAAATATGCACATGGAAAAAATAAAATACACACATGGGTGGAGTTGGCCCTTAGGACACTCACTAGTAGGGCCCAAGTCTTACTGTGAAACACAGGGTTTTGTTTTGTTTTTTGTCTCTGAAGCTTTTCAGTTAACATTCTTGGAGGTGTTTGGTTGCCCATTTTAGTCACATTATCAAAAGGGAAATGTTCTTTTAGAAAATAAGCTTCATTCTGCCAATTTAGAAAGTGCATTGGAATTTCACCCAAAGGTCTCTAGAAAACACACTGGTTTTGGTGCTGGTGCATCAAATAAATCACAAATGAAACAAACAAGCTGGCTTCCTATTGAAGGTGTGTCTGCAGAGCCCTGTGACTCTGCGTGCCAGGGGCTCTATCTGGCACATTTCTTAACTCTGCAAAATTAATCGTGCCAAAGAGAACATCATCAAACGCGTCCGGCATAGAGTGTAAACATCTTCAAACCAGGATTCTGCGCCATCAAGCGCTCTCCAGCTAATTTCATTTGGTGCATTACTCTGGAAGAAAATCGAGGCCAAGTGAAACTGCGGAAATGGGAACAATGCAAGGAGGAAAAAATCTCACCCCATTAAGGGATCCGTTTCTTCTTTGCACAAATAAGCCCACCACGCCTTGGAGGCAAGACTAGATGGCTCCAGGATATTATCAGTGTGGGACTGAGGGAGCCCTGCACTACCGAGGAGGACGGTGGCTCCAGCCGCAGGGCCCCAGCCCTGGGCGCATTTTAGGTAACTCCTATAACCTAAGCAATTGCTCCTCCTCCCCTCCCCCCCCGCTACCCACGCGCAGGCACTGACGCTGGTTTTCGTGGGTCTTCACATGGGAGGCTAAAACACGGCCCCGCATTTTCCAATCCTCAACGCTATGTTGGCAAGGCGCATTGACAGCGTTTGGGGAGCCCCTCTCCTTCCCGAAGGGCCGCCGCGCCCGGGCCGCTTCGCTCTCGCTGGCTCCTCCATGACCTTCCGAGATTGGCCTCCGGACAGGACTCTCCGCCGAAGCACCACCCTCGGCGCTCGGGCCCCGCGCGCGGCCGCACTCCTCCGACTCCTAGGGGCGGCCCCTCGGGCGAGCGCCGGACGCGCGCGGCCGTGCCCGGGAGGCGGGGGCGGTGGGGGCGCGCGGGCGGCTTCCGGCGGGGGCGCGCGGGGCGCGGGCGGCGGGGCGGGGCGGGCCAGGGGGCGGGGCCTGGACAGCAGCGCCCCCCGCCGAGCGGCGTGCAGGCACCGCCCCCGCGCGCCGCAGTCCCGGCTGAAGCGTCTCGGCCGTGGTCTTGGCCGTTAGCGTTGCCTCCTGGAGGCTCTGGCGGCGGCGGCGACTCCCAGGGCTCGTAGAGGGCACAGCCGGCCGCCCCCAGCTCGTGGCCGCCTCCAGCAGCCCGGCGCTGGGACTGGGGAGGAGAGGCGAGGCGGCGGCGGCGGCGGGTTGTGCCCGGCCCCCCTCCTCCTCGCCTCCGGTCCCCGGGCGACTGCGGACTCCGGGCAGCCCCCGGGCGGCGGCCGAGCGGACGGCGGGGGATGGCGAGATAGCGGCGCGGGAGTGGCCCGTGAGTGCCGGAGGCGGGTGGGCGCGGCGCGGGGCGTGGGGAAGCGCGAGCCTCGGTGCCCGGTGCCGGGTGCCGTGGGCGCGTCGCCGCGAGCGCCTGGCTGCTCGCGCGGGGTGGGGGGCAGCGCTCCGGCCGGCTCTGGTCTGGGGGCGTCCGCGGGGAGTGACGCGGGGGTGGGGGAGTGCTCCGGGTCGCGCCGCTCTCCGCGCGCCCTCTGGCCACTCGCGTCCGTGAGGGCGCCGACTCCCTGGCCGCGACATTCCGCCCCGCGTAGGGCAGTAAGTTCTGAGACCACAGGCTACCTGGGGGATGGGAAGGAGCTTTAATTTTTATTTTCCTTTGGCGATGTAGCCAACCGAGTGATTGCGTGATCCCGTGCCTCAACTTTTCGTTAAACAGTTCTTTCTCCCTTCCTCCCTTATTTATGAGTGTATTTAATTTACCTGTACTTTTTATGTGCTTATATCCGAAGGTGCTAACCTCGATAAATCCAAAGTTAAAGTGTTAGTGATCAAAGTTAGGCTTCTTGAAAGATGGCACTTTTGATGTGTTGTCTAAAAGGAAAGACTTGGAGTCTTGAATTCTGACCCTTAAAGAAAACTGCACGTCAAGTGGTTGTGCATTCACTCCAGGGCTTGAATAATGTGATTTTGGTGCCCGTCTTTGGCTACAAACAAACCCAGCAACAGCATATGAGGTCTTTATTCTTTATTCTCCGTTGGGTATCTTTGTGTTCCTTTTTGTATGAGTGTGTTTAATGCAGTCGAATATTGATAGAATGTGTGTGCATTTTTTGAGTGGCATTTGTATGCAAATGAATTCTTTCCATTTCTTTTTTGTGTTCTTTTAACATACATTTTTCAACAAAAAAGCTTTCAGTTTAAGGTTTGCCTTCTGATTCTTCGTTTTCAGTTTCAGATTTCTCTTTAATTAAAAAAAAAAGTGTGGCTGGAGTGAAAGTAATGTGACTTGGTAGTATCATTTAGTCAGCGGTGCCCAAATGAATCCTAAATTAAATTTAAAGCCCATTGCCATCCCCTGCAAATGAAAAATTAAAGTGTTTGTATGGTGCAAATGATGGTTGCCCCTCCCCTTAAAATTATTATTTCGCTGCAGATCTGACATCCTATTTCACCAATATCAGAAGGTTCCTTGTCTAAATAAGCTGGGTGGAGGAAAGGAAACCTGAGTGTAGTAGTGTTTTCAAAAACTGAAGACTTTCCTCTTGTTTTTTACCTTGACTTTGTTTTATTACCACGTGGAAACTGTGTTAATTTGGAGACTTCATTAGGTAGTTACAAGCCCAATTTAAATATGGGGCACGTTTTCAAGGTGAACCTAGCAGCTGTTTCCCTTCCAAGAATTGAATTGAGGCGTATTTGCTTTGTAATAGGTGAGATCACAAGCGAGCCTCTCTAATTAGTGGAGACTTGGATTCTCTTCTGGGAATTAAGGATCAGGAACTCTGCACTCCCAAATGGAACAACTTTTGTGATTTTTGAAAGCCTGTACTCTTGATGGCTATCCTTGAATAATATGTTGGTAACAGTATACATTATTTTGGTGTTAAAATTTATTGCATTAATTTGTGGGGAGGCGATCTATGCATACTGGAGGAGATCGAATAGATATGAAGAGCTCAGAAGTGGAAAGTCCATCTTTCTCCCCTCTCTGCAACACAGCGCCCTGTTCTCCCCAGTAATCAGGGTGGCTAGTTCCTTATATATCTTTCCAGATATAGCTTGTGCTAGTATAAACATTTTGTATGCTTCTTTTTCTTTGTCTTTCCTCCAACGAGGACACTTTGTATATGCTGTTCTGCACCAGCTCCCCGCCCTTCCCTTAGAGTACTAAATCTTGGCAGTCTCTCTATCAGCACTTAAGAGAGCCGGCTCATTCTCTGGGAGCTGCTTAGAGTACTCCAGTAAGGATGAACCATAATTTATTTAACCTCCTTTTTTTTAAATTGAGATATGTGTAAATATATAAAATTGTTATAAAATTATTGCAAAACTTTAGTTTTTAAAGTGGGCTTCAGTTATTCCCAAAGGCAGTAATAATACACTTCTTTGTAGCACATTCCAGAAAATAAATGCCCCTTCTCTCCAGTACACACTTTTTGCTTTTGTCTAATGCCATAGTGACCCATAAAGATCTTTGGTGTCTTTGTGAAGCCTGAGCCATTATGGTCAGTAAAGTCAAGTCATATATACCTTGATTAACACCTTACCTCTTTGTTTCAAGAAAAGAAATAAAAGATAAATTTTTAAGAATAATCTGTAAGGAAAACTGATAAGAGTAAATATTTTTGAACATGGAGAAAAGGCTTGCACCTTTGATTAAATTGAAGATGAAGACAGTTTTTGTTCCACGAGACTTGTTTACCATTAGGCACCTGCCTTCTGTAGATTATTACCAGTATCTCATATTTTCCTGCTGATATAATATGGTTGCAAACTGTACAGTTTGGGAGATTATAAGTAACTCTTAAGGGGTGGTATGCTTTTGGAAAATATTTGGCTCTTTTAAATTAAAAATTGACATCTCAGCGCTTTTAAAACAAACTGTAGAAGTAGTGCTAATCCTAGAAATTTAGCCTAATACATAATCAAGTTTGAGTATTAGGTAATGTTGAACTTTGTATGTTTATTACATTTATTTTTGGAGAGTGTTTTCAAGACTAGTGTAAGCTATACTTTTTTTTTTTTTTTTAACTTACCAAACAACTCTTAGCATTTAAAGGGTTTTCATTTTCCTTTGTTATTTGGCACCTGTCGTTGTACACAACTGCAATTAGCAGTACACAACTGCTAATATTGCCTCTATTTGCTCTTCTTAAATAAGTATACATTGAGCATCTGTTATATTCCAGGCACCCTGATAGGTACCGCGAATATAGCACTGCACAGGACAGAGAGACCCCACTTTTAACGAGTTCACGAGTTACTGGGGGAGATGGACAAAAAGCAGAGAAGCAATAAAGGAGATGAGACCAAGTAGTGATAAGTACTGGGGAAGTACTAAGCGTTGGTGTGGTAAAGACAGGATGGGAGCTGCTGTTTTAGATTGGCCCCGGAACTGTGTCTCAGCTAGAGAGATTTGAGCAGAGTTGAATGAGAGAAGGACTCTGTGTGTTTGGAGGTTTGGAGGAAGAGTGGCTCAGGCAGAGGGAGGAGCAGGTGCAAAGGCCCTCCATTGAGGTTGGGCCTGTCTCTCCAGGGGACCAGAGAGCTGCCTCTGTGATGGAGAGGAGATGGGGGCAGCGCCTGGCCGGTGAGAACAGGTACCCGCACCTGTTTGCGTGTGTGAGGGAGTACATGCAGCCTAGGAATGAGGCCTTGCTCGGCTGGTGGCTGTTTCTCCCCCTGCTGGAAAGCTCCAGGAGGGCAGGCAGGGGCCTGACTGCTCCCCAGCCTTTCCCACCAACAGAACAGCCGGCTGTGAACATTTGGTGAATTAATGAATAATCTGAGAGTTTCAAAAAAATAATCTTGCCTGATTTTGGTCAGAAAACTTAGATTCGGGAGTCTTAAGCTTTCCATCGTGGCTGTGGCCCTTGATGTTCAAATCTGTGATACACATCCTCTCGAAGGATTGCTTTATGTTGGTTGCATTTGGAAGGCTTAAAAACATACCTAATTTTCCAGGTTTTATAGTGACTTCTGAGTAATTTAGTCAGAAGTTTCACCTTTGATGATCAGTAGATTTGCTATTTGCTTAAGCATAACATTTTCAAAGATGCCTTTTTTGTTTACTGAATAGATGAATTCCTTTGAGCAGATGACAGACTAATGAGCAAATAAAATATATGTACTTTATGCAGGTACTTCTATTCTCACAGGAAGAATGCGTGCATGTTCTATTTTAGGGAATATCAGGAACTAGGGTATTTCCTCTTCCCAACTTCTCATCTGTTTGTCATTCTAAATACGTGTTCCCTTACATTAATTGAAAGCGTGGGAAATGAGTTTCATGCCAAGTAATTGTTACAGATGTTTAATAAGAATCTGTTATCTTTCTCTTTCTCTTGACTGTGACTTTTTGGCTTCTGTGTGACCTTAGGACTTTTGTCATCTCGCAGAATGAGGGTTTTAAACTTTCTAATTTGCTGTTCGAATTGACTCATTCCAGAACCTAATAAGTAGTTTCTAGGTTTATCTTCCAACTTTCTCTCACCAGCTCTGCACAAACACTGTAAAGGATGGATTCTGTGACTCCTGAAACTTAAGTCAGCTTTGTCCTTGCCAGTGTCGCAGCAGCAAAAGCTCTTTTGCCGTATAGCTGAAGCACGTAAGCATCTGTTTTATATGTAACTGATTGTGGTAATTTAGCAGCTTAGATATTTGAGTTAAAGTGCTTTTACGGCCTCCTTTATATTTCCTCTGTGAACTATAGAGATGCAGGAATTCCAGATTCGTCTTATGTTGTCTGGAATTACAGCATGTACTTTATCACCCATCGCTGCTGCTGATGGTCTCTCATGTAAGCAAAGGTTGTGTTTATCTGATATGGTTTTATGTTGGAAGTTGAAGAAAAACTTCCAGTGGGTGAGTTTTTCATGGAATTTTGCACAGAGGTGAGAAAAGTCTTGGCATTTAGCCGTTCGTCTTTTGTATGGCAGGTACAGAAGACTTGGAATCGTGATAGGTGCCCGTAGTTGAGAATCTGCCTGTACTACTAAGGGGCCGTATCCTGCAAGACTGCAGAGGTGATCCCACTTGCTGAAAGTGCGTGTGTGGCTCTTCCCTAGAAGGGATACTGAGGCCCCTTGCTGTGCCTTCCTCTGACTGCTCTCCAAAGCAGCCTTCAAGGAGACTCTGGACCTGAGGACAGTGGAAGTGGTGGCGGCAGGAACATCTGGTGGAAAATAACAAGTGGCAGTAGTAGCGTTTCCCATTTCTAATATTAGAAATGCTAATGGGGCAGTGAGTGGTAGACATTCTGTGGAGAGAACTGGGCGTGTCTGTTGAGCTGGGGGTGAGCTGGGGAGAAGTGAGGAT